TTATTATTGTTATTATTATTATTATTACTACTACTTTTCGTTGTCGTTGTTAGTGTATATACATACACTAAAATTAATATTGTAAATACCAATGTAAATAAGAGTCTTTATACCATATTTACAAAGATTTTCATAAATGTCTGTCCGTCCTTTTAACATGATGATGATATGACCGTTTGCAGCTGCGAGCGCCGTAAAACTCTTACTAAAACATAACATGATGATGGATTTGTTGCAGTAAAACCCGTTGACAGTTACATGACCAAAATTGAGTCGATAGTGCCGTAAAACACCTACTCAATCAATCAATATTATTACTTGCCATATCGTACTTTTGGACTTTATTTCCAGCACGAGCCCATGAAAGCGTCCGAGCTGCAGTCTGTGGTGAGGGCGTGTCTTCAGCTGGCCGCCCATGAGCCGTTGCCCGAAGTGTGGGACTCACCCCGTGACAAACAGCAGGAACTTACAGCAGTAGGTCGTCACGTCAGTGGGGGTGATAAAGCCACGCGGTCGCAGACGGAAGAGGCAGAGCGAGGGAAGGTTGGAGGAATCTCTCAAGACGTGAATGGCTGCAGAAAGGCGATGGAGAATGATTATGCTGATGATGCTGATGATGCTGATGATGCTGATGATGCTGATGATGCTGATGATGCTGATGATGATGATGAACGTGTTGTTATTGAGGCACAGATGAATTCAGTGGATCGGCCTTCAGAAGGACAAAGAGCGTCGTCTCCTATAAGAGGTGACGAAGGCGAGAACACTGCTGGGAGGTTGAGCCTTTCTCTAAGCAACGAGGATGACGAAAATGCCAACAAAATTATGGCGGAAAACAAACCTATGTGTGAGCGGGATCGCTATCGTTCTGGCAGCGAGCACAGCGTCACCTCATCGAGGGCAAGCTCTCGGCCTTCTCAGAGTGCGAGCGATTCAGAAACTGATGGGAGTGAGTGTAACAGGTCCATGGAGTCTCTCAGGAGGAGTGAGGGAGCAGGAGAGAAGGCGCACACTGGCGCAACTGTACGAGATGATGGGTCAGACGTTAGTCTAGATGGAAGAGCAAGGTCGCCAGATAATTCGAGCATTCAGCGAGATCAGTTGAGAAATCGTCCTGGGAAAACGCAGAGAAGTTTTAAAGATGGAGTGAGGGGTGACGAGAAAGAGGCTGCCCCTAACTGCGGTGGGAGAAGGCCGGCCAGGCAATCTCAAGCCCCGCCCACAAGCCCCGCCTCCTCGCTGTGTTGGAGTGACAGTCACGAGGGTGCTCATCCGGGCACGCCGCGCTCAGAAGGTTAGCACACAGTAGTTTTCTAGAGCAGCCCTTCTTTCTCTCTTTGTTCCTTTCACCTACTCCATGAACTAGACTGTGCACGTTTATAGTCATGACCTTATGCAGTTGCATGCGCCGTAAAACACTTACCAAAAAAAAAAACAAACAAAATACCCCCCTCCCCAAAAAACATCAACAACAACAACCATCAACAACACCCCCCCCCAAAAAGCCAAACAAAAGCAAAAACAAACAACAAACAAACAAAACAACATGGACTGTGTCGATAGAGGCGTGAATCCAAAAAAGAATTACAGTTACAGTCGAAATTATCCTAGATGACTACCCATTGTCGGTTAGAAAAATGATTGTCTTAACCATATCCGTAAGCCCTGGGGTCATTTTGTACCCCCGGGGTTGTATTCTTCACGTTTTAGAATACGTCTAGTACAAAGATCATGGATATTTCAACCCTAAAATGAAATTT